GCAGACAATTAACTTGCTCCATTAGTCACTGAATCCACCCCATTCCCTTCCTGATGTTAAATAGCTTTCTTTAGAATTCATTCTACTTTTGTGCCGACGAGATCTTTCTGACAAGACGTGCAGAGACTGCCCCAGTTCCTTTGAAAGCCATACCTCACTTTAGCTTCAAAGCTGGAGGATTTTGATGGCTCTTTAAATGACATTTTAGACAAACTGCATCATATAATTTACTTAGGCTCTGTATGGAAATGGAAGCTTTGCAAAAATAGTTTTAAGCGTGGTTTTCAGATGTTGCCCATTTTAAAAGTAGGAAATATGATGTCTTGTAGCTTTGAGCAACTTATTACATGGGCGTGGTTATTGTTAGCAAGACCTAGGGGTTTGGGAACATTGCTTCAAAAGTTGGAAACTCAAACTCTATTCCTGCTTTAGTGTCAGCTGCTCCATGGACACTTGGCAAGTTGCTCAACTTATGCCACTGCTTCCTTCTCTGCATAATGAAGTTTCGTGTAGCAGTTGCACCCCACTTCCTCCTTTGATTCCTTTCCACCCACACTTTCAGATCAGCTGCCTCCGAGGGGCAGTGTCATTTCTATTCAGGCACTGCCGGGTGAGGGGTGGGGGGTAAATTGACTCCATGGCTCATTATACTCCACCTAATTCCTCCTCACTTCAGAGATGTTAATGACCCCTTCTCTTTTTTTAATGGCCTTGAAGGTCCATTAATCAAGCTATTCTGTCTTCTGCAATGTTGCTGTCTGTTAACCATTCCTGGTAATATCACTATTTCACAGCCCTGCAGACTTTTTCTAGCAAAATTACTACACCTAGGTTAACGTTTTTAAACTTAGGTGAACATTAACAGTGAAATGCTACATGTTGTATAATGAATCTGAATAAGAGATGCAAATGTAATTATGATCAATACAAAACTAATACGTCTTTTGACTATTTTTGCCTAGTTTATTGTGTTTTTTAAACTTAATGTATAATCTAGCAAATTAATGCACATTCCAATAGAGTTGCATTAGTCTTAAAACAGAATAATATAGCACTGGGCCCCTAGTATATTGGTCAGTCTTCTAGTTTCTCTTTAACTGGAGCAAAATGTTGTGTTGATGCACCACACCATCTGCACACCCCCTTTTCAAAATCCCAGATCCATCCTTGTATGTTAGTAAAGTGTTTTGAGAGTAAATGTTCAGTTGCTAAAAGGCCTGTCTATCAGAGTCCCATAAATATAACTACTAGGACCAAGTATCATCTGAACTCTGGAGTTCAGACTAAACTGTATAGTCATATTCTCTGCTGACCCTCGAGCTACAGTATTCTTGATGCTAGATTGGATTTCTAGCAAGTTAGTTTTTCAGCACATTATTCTATTTGATATTTCTAGCACATTTTTGTTCAGAGCTGAGGTTTTGATCTGGTCCCCAGTCCAAATTTCTATAAGCAAATTTGTTATGTCACTCACCCCACCAGCATGGCATCAGCTATTAGTTTACCTACTTGTTAATGTGCCATCAGGGTGTGAACTACACAGGAACTGCTGGAAAAAAACCTCATAGTGCAAGGTTAAAGTAATTGTACAAGCAAAAAGGACACCTGAGACATAACAGGAACATGACATAAAAATCTCTCTTGAACCACTATAGCTAGGAAATACTGATACAAACCACTAAAGACTGAAGAATCAATGTCTTGAGGAATCACAAAATAAATATCTACATTGCCCTTCTCCTCATGACACAGTCCAGGAAGTTTTTCCAAACCCAGGCATTCAGCTGAAAGCTTAACCACATGAGGGCATTTGAGCACGGATGACCCAACTGGTGCAGAAATTATTTGATAGTTAGGTTGACCATAAGGAAATCTGGGGCATCTAGGACATGTCTCCCTCCTTCCTCTCCCCCACCCTAATGCTGTGCCAAGTCAGTGGTGCTGCCTGGCATCTGCCTCCCCCTGGGATTGTGCCCTGTTTCCCTACATTTCCAGGACGCTCATTTTAATTCACACCAGATGTCTGGGACCAGCCTCCAAAATCTGGGACTGTCCCAGTTCAACTGGAATGTGTGGTCAGCCTGTTTTATAGTTAACATGTAGCTCTAAAACGTGACCTGGAATTTTATAGGATGCAGTTTTGCAACAAGGGGGATCCTGAAACTTTACAGTATTGGAGAGACTATGCTACAGAAATCTGGAGTTTTAGATAAATCCATTAACAAAAAAAACCAAAAACCAAAAAAAAAAAAAACAGAACAAGATATACCACATAG